TGTAAAATATGGTGCAAATGACATGAAAAGCTGACCAGGGTTGTGTTTCTTATGCAAAATAGATAAGAATACTTCAAGCAAACTATTATTATTCATTGCCAATTATATCACTTCCTGTAACTTATCGCTTCCTGTTACCACTTAACACCAATCAATGATTCAATATAACAAATTAACAATGTTCCAGGTCAAATGCCTTCCAGCAGCACCACCATGACATAAATTCCAGTTAAATTATTTTAATAATCCAGGATTAATTCCAGGGCAACTTTGAGTTACTGTATATGAAGGCCCTCTCTGGAGCTGGTCACTCTAATATTTATGGATGCATTTATATCCAACATTTTGACAAATGCTGTTTGAATTTTTAAATACTGTAAGATTATCAAAGTATTCAAGGGTGTTAGGTACTAGTTTTCATTGTTGCCGAGCAGTTGATAATAAAAATAAACAATTATTGAAACTATTTGCAGAAAATAGATTATTCTAAGTATTTGAAGTCTGGATATCTACAATACATTGACCAATATATCTCCACAGATTTTGCATTGAATCCCAAATCATACATTCAGGAGAGTGTCTAGGACTATTGTATGTATCCAAAACTGCTGTTTCAAGATATTAAGGGTAGACAGGGAGTAGTGCAGTTATGGACTTGGTAGGTATCTGATTGCATGAGCAGGACTGACAAGCTTCAGTAACAGTGGCAGTGCAGTACGTATATTGTGATCAGCTCAATTATTTAGTACATTGACTTATCAATGGAAGTGAGATGATTTATCAATTTATACATTAATGTATTCTATGCAATGACCTTTTGTTGTATTGAAAATAAATGATAGAATGATTAGAACAGTAATTTGGTCCCATAACTGCTAATTAGGCTGGTACATTTAAAATGAACACCTTGTGCTGAGCCATGGTCATGAGAATGGTATAATTTAAAGGCATATGAACAATGCCAGGAAAAGCATCACAAATTTAAGGGGCCGAACCTGAGAGAGCCCAGCTAAATTTATTCCCTTCCTAAACATGTGAATCCCTTTATTTTCAGCATCACAATAATTTGCCATTCACCCCCTGTGCCTCTCCCCTCACCTTGGCAGGAGCAACCCTGATACATGTAATGCCATTTAGTGTGATTGGTACTAGGTGATCATTCTGGAACAATACAGATTATATATAACTGAACTAATCTCACCCTCACCAAACATTGCCCTTTCAAATATTGTTTTGAAGCTTCAAGAGCTTCCCAATTCCAAAATGATGCACATACAGGGATGGATTTGGATATAGGAGGGAACTAATTAGGTGCCGGTATTGATGTCAGGTGTGAGCATCAACCAAGGCATGGTATGCAATCATACAGATAGCAGTTTTGGGGAAACAGCACCTAACAAGTAACCGGCCAAGTAACCGGCAGGTGCCAGGAATATAGCTGCTAGTAAGGGTTGCAGGATCCTAGACAGAGTCCCTTAGACTGTAAGAATCTCAGGGAGAACTTCAAAATATTATTAAGCATGTAGATTCAATTTGCATTTTCAAACAAATTAAGACACAACCTCCCCCCCCCTCCCACACACACACACTATATATAATGGCACATTGAGTGTTTAGATGTGAACAGCCAAAACAGGATCATCCATGTTGAGATATTTAAAACAGTTCAAATATAATAAATTTTGTTCACACACAGACTCACTCATTTAAATCCACATCTATAAACACAGTACACAGATCCCAAACATTCCCTTGTGAAATTACTGAAATAGCTGACAAACCTTTTAATTTTGACGGCTTTGAGGCTCAGTGAGTTTGAGTGAACCACCAAAGATCGTAAAATATTTCCATACAATGCGAGATACAATGTTGCATTAATACTCCCGCCATTATATAACAATTCGACCATAAAATTTATCACCGACTGTTCTGATTGCGGGCGAAATGCATCAGTCAAAAGCGCATTATTTTGATCGCGGGCTAAACGCATAGGCATGAAAACAATGTAGGCATGAAAACAATGGTTTTCATGACGTGTTGTTGGGAAAACTCGGCCAAAAGACTCGGGACCGATGCACCACTGATGCACTTTTCTCCCCAACGTGACGTAGTGATGCACTGCCGGCCCCAACGTGACGTAGTGATACATACACTGAGCTGTAATAATAGTGGATGCATCAAACTAAACACCTACAGTATATATGTGGTGAAATACTCGCGACACAAAATCGTACAACTTGATAAGTGCGAAATTTGATATGCGTTTACGTTTTTCATAATATTTTGCGAAATATAGCTGTGTTTACATTCATTCCTGTGAAAATATATTGTTTTAAAGGACTTTGAATCAAAGACAACCAATATTTAAATATATTTTAATAAAATGTTGACAATTCTCGTTCGTATGAAAATTTTGACTGATGCACTCGCATTAATTGCATCAGTCTGGATCCGCGCCTGGTCAGAGTAGAAGATGTAAAACTCACAATCCGTGCATTCTAAGATGGTATTGTTAAGGTTGTATGGATAAGTAATTTTATTGCGCTTTCGGGTGACTCTTTAAGACTTTGCATCTGGTGTTATTCAATTCGAGGTTGATACTGCTTGAGCTTTCTTGGAAGTTTGACAGATCATTCTGTAGAGCAGATGCATCAGAGATCGAATTGATGGTCTTGAAGATCGTAGTGTCGTCTGCGAATGTAGCAATCCTTGAATTGGTCAGGGTATTGGAGAGACGATTCTCATATAGAAGGAACAATAATCGACCAAGGATGGTCCCCTGTGGCACTCCTGATGTTACTGGAAGCGGCCTCGACATTGCTCTAAGAATGGTCGTTTGTTGATATTGGTTTGTTAAAAATGAACCCATTCCGAGGGACAGCAGTGAAATTGGTCGGTAATTTTCTACCTCAGCTTTTTCCCCGCGTTTGTAAACAGGGACAATGTTCGCGAGTTTCCAATTGTCAGGCACAACGCCAATACGTAAAGACTTGTTGAAAAGAGAACAGAGAGATGGTGCAATCTGCACGGCTGACTCTTTCAGTAGGCAGGCTGGACTATTATCTGGGCTGTGTGCTTTATAATGATCTAAGTTCACTATCACATCTACAAACATATTAAAAACTAATGAAACACCTCAGTTGATTTGCTGTTTTGTCCTTTTTAACCCCCCTCCCCCCTTACAATGTTGGTTAGCTAAGTTAAAACATGAAATGATGGTGTTCTTTGCAATCGACAAACCTACTCAGTGTAATTATTCACAGTGTAATATCAACATTGTTTGGGGGAAGGGGGGTGGGTTATATTGTTTCTGAACAACCGCAAGTGTTTCATTCACTTTTTGCCAGGATTGTCTTATATTAAGATTTTGAGAGAATGGTTTTTATTTCATTAAGATTGTTTTATTTCCATTATATAACTATATAATGTTTATAGTGACAAAATTCTAATTTAAACCTCTGTGACAAATAAACCTCGCACATGACCTGGGTACAAGGAAGTAGATTTTAAAAACAATATGGCGGGAATGATATGGTTGGATTCGAATTTCCAGAAAGAGCTATGGCTGTTTAAACCAAATACGATGTACCACAGGTTTGTAGATACATTAATGCATATATTACGGTGGCCCAGAAGTGTCACAACACAATTCAAATTAGAAAACACCCCCCAAAGTCCACAACACATTTCCAAACTGGAAACACAATTCAATAATTGCTAAAAACACATTTCAATGTTCACAACACATTTCCAAACTGGAAACACAATTCGATAATTGTTAAAAACACATTTCAATATTCACAACACATTTCACACTTGAAAACAAAACTATTGAAAACACATTCCAATATAATCACAAGAAAAATCGAAATCGAAAAAACATTTCAAAATACTAGCATGGAAACATCGGCGATCAATACACCAGTACAGTGAGTACACCGTATTTCATTTCGGTCTAAAATTAGATGTCCTTTCTTTCCTCTTTGTCGCTTGAAATGCCTCAAATGTTGGCGTTGAACCTGTGCCTTTGGACTTTAATTTTCCATCGCTGGCCGAAGACTGTGGCTTTGGAATTGCCTTTGACGAGCACACCAGTATCACCAGGCGATTAACCTGAAGTTCAGGCCCTAATTTGAAATAGGGCCTGACACAAAACCTGTCCAAGGTGCTGATTACATGGTGCCGAGCTGGCCCGGTTAACCGGGCTGACTCGTTTGTTTAGGACCTTACTGTGGTTTTAAAACTCGCGTAAAATAAATTTGCGATAAATAATTGGTTTAGTATAGATGCAAAATCATCCTAAACCTGATTTAAAACTCATTTTGCGGCCCAAAGAAGATTTTCGTGACATTTTTCAGCCCGGTTAACCGGGCTGGCCCGGTCCATGTAATCAGCCCCTAAACCGTGGGACGCCCACATGTTATTTTTAGACACAACATGCAATATGATTGACAAGTGTTGTAGATTTCGTTACACAAAAAAATTATATTCTCATGAACATGTCCGCAGAGTGTGCATTTTGCTT